CGATGCTAGACTCGAAATGCGGTCACCGCGGCCGCCGCTCAGTGACTCGTGAGTGAAAATCAGAGTCACCGCGGCGGCGGCAGCGTGAGTGAGGCGGGCTCATCGGACCTGAGGGCCGGCGCCTGGGGGCCCAACTCGTACCTGTATCGGACTATCACTACCCAAAGTCCGTGACCACCCCCCTAAACCCCTCAACTCCTGTTCACCACCCCCTCCTGCTCCAGGAAATGTGGAATGGACCCCTCTCCTTAGGTTGAGGTGTAGCAAACATACCCCTGAGAGATGATACCCACCCACTGACTACCTTGTTCTGCCATACTACCCGGTCATTTCCATGTTTCAGAGTACCCTACCCATACATTCCTGGAGATTTTTGAATTCACCGGTGGCATTACCCCACCCCCGTGGGGCTCGGGCTTGATAGTCCCCCACTGTTTTTTTTCGGTGGTCATAGACCCAGGGACACTACCCCACCCGTCTACACCCCCTGGGCTTCAAATGTACCCCCACCAGTATGTATACCCTACAACTCGTCACCCTACCCACACGAATTTGGAACATTCATTCTTGTACCCCTCATTTTAATGAGCAAAGGGGGGTCATATGAAGAGGTTTCAAATGCTCTGTAAACTACTACCCCTTGTTTGGAATGACCCCACCTACAAGTTTCTGCTACATACATTTTATTGTGCGGCTGCTACACAATCGGACCCAGCATGATACCCACCCCCTTCCTTCATCACCCTACCCCCTCTTTCCCACAAAATATCAGGAATAGAACCCTTACCTAGACTTCATGTACCCCACCGTCAAGAATTGCACCCCACCCCTAAAAACACACTTACGTTTCGAACGCCAATGCCGACGATGGTTTGATCCCTACCAGAGGCCATCAGTCGCGCGATTTGTCTTGGCGTCATCCCCTTTCTCCGCCTTCTTCCGCTCCATTCTTGCATCCTCGCTACTTCTGTGCATCCTCCTTCTTGCTCTCCTCTTGGTTCTCTTCGTTCAGGTAGTTTCGTTCCTCCCCTTACTCCGCTACACACTCCAGCTTTGGGTCTTCCTCAACACTTTCAAGGCATTCATCTATCCTGATTCATACGCTCGCATCGATTTGAAAGACTGCTGTCATTCTGATTCCAGCTGTAACAAGTTGCTTTCTTGGCTCCGAGTGCGGATCTGGTTGATGCAAGTGTTGACATCTCCTGTGGACGTGTGAGATCTTCGGATTGCTTTCCAACTGTTACACGTGTAGCGGAGATTGTCTTGTTTTGGCAACATGATACAAAAACTATATGGCCGTACCGACAAGTTTCTTAGGGATCGAATGCATTGGAAAGCGCCGGCTCGGGCTCTGTTCTTCTACTATATCCTTCAATTCTACGAGCAAGTGCTGGCGGTAGTCCCCATCACCTTGTGCCTTGTGATCACCATCGGAATCTACTTCCAGCGCACCGTCAACTCCCCCGGCACCTTAGCTGGAGGCCTCATCTCCGCCATGGTCGGCCTTGTTCTCTTCGTCGATGGCCTCCGCGTCGCCATCATGCCGCTGGGCAGCCTTCTGGGCCAGCAGCTGCCGGAGCAGTTCAAGGTGAGGTACATCCTGGTCGTCGCATGCGCCATCGGCATCCTCGTCACGTATGCAGAGCCTGCGATTGCGAGCTTGAGGCCTCTTGCCAACCTGGTGAAGCGATGCGACACCCCCTACCTTTTCTTCGTGCTCAACGATATGTCGGAGATCCTCGTCCTGTCCATCGGGCTGGGGGTTGGGGTAGCGGCGATGATCGGGGTGCTGAGGTTCCTTAGGAACTGGTCCCTGAAGCCGCTCATCGCCCTTGGCCTCTCCCCCACCATCGCGTGCGCGTGCTACATGAAGTGGGGCAATCCCGAGCTATCCCCTCTGATTGGGTTGGCGTGGGACTGCGGGGCAGTGACGACAGGGCCGGTGACCGTCCCGATCCTGCTCTCTCTCGGGATCGGTGTGATGAAAGGGAGCGCGGCGAGAAGGGACGCCAGAGACGTGCTGGAGCAGCAGGCGGGGAAGAACAAGGGAAAGGCGCTCGAGGGCTTTGGGATTATAACGCTGGCGTCTACGTTCCCTATCCTCGCAGTGGAGCTGATGTCAATCTTCATCTCGCTGCGGTACTCGTCGGAGGACATCAGGACAGACTTCGGGAAGATCGACTGCTCGCAGCTCAACGGGACGGAGACTGGACTGGAGGTGAAGGAGACAGATGCGCAGCTCGTGCTGAGCGCTTTCACCTTCGCCATCCGCTCCATCCTGCCCCTGAACGTCTTCCTGATCATCATGATCGTCTTGGTGCTGTGGAAGCCGCTGCCCAAGATCTCGTTCGAGGTGCAGCCGCCGGCAGGGCTGCTCCCCGACCTCAACAACCACTCCGACAAGCTGTACTCGTTCTTCAAGTGCCTCGACGACAACAACTCGGAGACGATCACCAAGGAGCAGTTCTTCCATGCCGTGGACTGCCTGGAGATTGGCATCGAGGAGCATGAGAAGGAGGACCTTTTCACCTCGATCGATCTCGACGACGACGGGGAGATCAGCTACGCTGAGTTCCGCAACTTGGAGTGCTTCCGTGATGCGGATAAGAATACGCACGAGGAGATTTCTTCCAAGATCAAGAAGCGCATCAATGAGTTCCGAACTCAGCAGCGGAGGGAGTGCAAGCAGGAGAGGAGAGAGAGGATCGCCAACGCCGTGGGGATGCTCGGCCGAACCTCCTCCAACCCCCACGGGAGGATCACCAGGAGGCAGGAGTCGGTCTTGGTTGTGGACGACGAGGAGGAGGAGGAGGGGGAGAAGGAGGTGAAACTTTCTCTCTGGCAGAAGGTGAGGGCACAGAGTTCTCTGCTGCTGGGCATCCTGGAGTCTCAGATGGGCATGACGCTCTTCAACATCGGGCTCAGCTTCGGTTTCACCGCCCTCGGTGACCAGAGCGGAGTCCTCCTCCCCTCCGCCTTCCTCGAGACCAGTAGCTTCCCCGGCTCCCCCTACTACGCCAAGGGCCCCGGCATCGCCATCGTCATGGTCACCATCTTCGTCCTTGGCTTCCTCGCCACCCGCGCAGAGCCCGCGCTGCGGGTGATGGGAAAGACGGTGGAGCTTCTGAGCGGGGGACAGTTCGGCGCGAACATGCTCGTGTACACCGTGTGTGTGGGAGTAGGATGCGGGATGGTAGCAGGGTCCTCCAAGATTCTCTTCGGGGTCAACATCATCTACATGATCCTTGGCAAGTACGCGGCTGCCTCCCTCCTCACCATCTTCGCCTCCGAGGACTTCACCAACATCGCCTGGGACAGCGCCGGAGTTACCACGGGCCCCGTGACCGTCCCGTTCGTCCTCTCCATCGGCATCGGCTTCTCCAAGGCCACCAGCGCACAGGAGGGGTTCGGCATCCTCACCTGCGCCTCTGTCGCCCCCATCATCACAGTCCTGCTCACTGACAGGCTGCGGACCATGTACGGGCAGGCTGTGAAGGCCTACGTGCAGAGGAGGTTGTCGCAGATGCGGTCGGTGGGCGTGCAGTGCGAGCCTGAGGAAGGGAAGGAGCTGTTGGAGGACGGGAAGAGGAACGGCGGAGAGGAGGCGGAGAAGGAGTGGAGAAAGCTGGTCGACTCGAGCACGCAGTTCGATATGGAGGACCTGGATGAGGTAGACGTGGAGGACGTGTGGGTGATAGAGGCTGCTTGTTGAGGAGGAGAAGGAGCGCGAAGTTTGCTGTGTTGAAGGAGCGATCAGGGGGAAGGAGGGAGATCTGGGGAGGAGGAAGGTGAGGGGATGTGCGAGTGAAGGATATGGTCTAACAAGGCGGATTTGATTAGAGAAAGAAAGAGGAGGGAGAAGAGGAGGAGGAGGAGGAGGAGGAGAAAGAAATTCGAGCAGCAATAAATTCTTCATTCTATTCACACCTCATTCCCTATGCTCTGCAAAGATCTTCTCAAGTTCCGAGATCTTCTCCCTCTGCTGCACGAGGAGGCAACACAGACGCTCCGTCGACCTCCTCCTCCCCTCCTCCTGTAGCGACGAGGGGAGCACGGGAGTGCCCTCCATCAGCACCTGCCGCACCTGCTCCTTCACGTCCCCGTCCCCAGACGAGGAGGAGGAGGAGCGAGCGATAGCGTCTAGCAGCCCGCACACGACGTCGTTCCCTCCTCCTTCCTGCGGCTCCCTGGCTCTCCTGCTCAGCTTGTGATGGGCAAGAGAGACCAGGAGGGCTTCAAGAGCGCACGCCTCCCACTGCAGAGGAAGGGAGCAAGCGTCGCCCTCCAGCAGCTCGACCCTCTCGAGAGGGAGCAGCGACAGCTCCTGCGAGAGGAGGAAGCACAGGAGGAGGAGGACGACGTCGCTGAGCATGCCAGCTGCCGCATCCCTTCCGCTCATCAGCTGCGACAGGATGTAAGACTTGCTCCCTCCTGTCCTCTCCCCTATCAGCTCCACCCTGTACAGCAGCGCCTTCACCCTCCGCAGGACCCCTCCTGCGTGCTCCCTCTCCTCCTCCCTCACGAAGGCAAGAACTCCTTCCCCTCCTGCTCCTCCCGCGCTCTCCCGACTCCTCGTCTCCTCCCCGAAGAACAGCTCCCTGACGAACCGCATGGCCGCCTCCCTGCCTTCCCTCTTGCTGATCCTCCCGCACAGCTCCCGCACATGCTCCTCCCCCACCAGCCCCCTGCGCGCAAACTTCGCGCACACCACGTACGCCTGTTCCATCACCTTCTTCTCCTCTGACCGGCACAGCCGCACCACTGGCTCCACCTGCTTGCCCAGCAGCACTCTCCTCTCCTCTTCCTCCTCCTGGGCAGCAGCCGGCGGCAGCTGGTCGAGCAAGCGGCCAAGAGCGCAGAGCGCGGTGCTCTTGACAGCCGAGTGGGAGTCGGAGGGGAAGCAAGCCAGCAGGTCCATCGTGCGAGCGTGGAGGAAGAGGGAGGGAGCGATGCGGAGGCAGGTGCCCAGCGCCTTGCACGTCTTGCTCCGGATGACGTAGTGCAGATCTCGGGAGCGGAGGAGGAGGACTCTGTCCTCGACCTGCTGCTGCAGCGACGAGAGGAGGAGGAGGCGGGTCTTGATTCCCTCCATGCTAGCTGAGAGCTGCTCCCTCCTCCCCCTACACCTGCAGCACTGCCTTCCTCTCGGCCCCGCCTCCTCCATCTCCTCGCAGAGCACCGTCGCTCCTCGCCATGTCGGGACGTAGTCCTCCACCACCATCTCCTCCTCCCCCCTCGCCTTCCCATCGCTGAAGTACAGCCTGGCAACACACTCCCCCCCCTCCTTGCTGATCCTCCTCCTCAGCTCTCGCACGCTCATGCTCTCCTGCTCGATGTCGAGGCGCCAGGTGCTGTCTCCCCGGCTGACCTTCACCTCCTTCGTCCTCCTCCCGCCCCCTTGCGGGTATCGCACGCTGTTCTGCTGGAGGAGGAGGAGCTCTCGGTGCAGGAGCCGCGCAAGCAGCCCGTTGCTCCTCTGATCCATCCTGACAGGATGAAGGAGGTCGGAGGATCGGAGAGACGAATGAAGGCAGCAGAGAAGTTCCCCGCCCTCCATGGTCAGCCCCATCATCATCCTCCTTGTCATCCTCTCCTGCCCCCCAGTCCCCTCCTCCTCCTCCTCCTCCTCCTCCTCCTCCTCTCCTGAGAAGATTTTCACATCCTGCAGACTGAGAAGGCTGACGCTCGAGCTTACGATCATCCTCATGCGATCGCTGGATGAGCGTCTGACGAAGGCGTCCAACATCTCGTGCCGCCGGCGAGCAGCGCAACGGCTGCAGGAGGAGCAGGAGGATGAAGCTCCAGCATCATCCCAGACAAGGCAGTCGAGGACGAGGTGGTCGACGATGGTGTCGAGGAGGAGGGAGGAGGAGGAGAGGAGGAGGAGAGACTTTTCTGCGCTGCGGATCCTCTCGAAGTCGAAGAGATCGTTGGAGATCACGTGGCATCCGTGAGAGGAGGCGGCGGCCGATGACGAGGAGGAGGAGGAGGAGGAGGAGGAGGAGGAGAAAATCTTCGCGTCCACGTCCATGATGGTGATGGCGATCTGCCGCTTGACAAGCGCATCTCGCCAGGATGGAAAACTCTCCTGGGCGAAGCAGTGAGTAAGAATGAGGGTGCGAGTAAAGAAGGAGAAGGTTGTGGTGGTGGTGGTGGGAGGAGGAGGAGGAGGAGGAGGAGGAGGAGGAGGAGGAGGAGGAGGAGGAGGAGGAGGAGGAGGAGGAGGAGGAGGAGGAGGAGCGAGAGAGTAGAACAAGGAGGACGGAGGACGGAGGGAGGATAGCGAGGATGGAGGGGGATACCTTGCTGCAGACGACTACGACGTGCTTGTTGAGCATGTACAAGGAGGAGAGGAAGAGAGAGATAGTTTTGACAGGATGCGTGCTGCCCTCGCAGTCCACCAGCAGGTTCTGAGACGCCTCGAAGCTCGTCCTCATCTTCTCCAGCAGCTGCCTATCCTCCTCCTCCTCAGCAGCTGCTGCTGCCAGCAGGGACGCTGAAAGTTCCTCCTCCTCCCTTCGCCTTACTTCTCTGCGCTCCTCCTCTTCCTCCTCCTCTGCGTCCTTCTTCGCTTTCTCCTCCCTCTCCCTGCAGGAGGCGAATTCCTCCAGATTTCTAATCACATCCACCAAGCTGCTCGTAGCAGCAACGAATCTTCTCTCCCTTCCAGCTCCTCCTCCTCCTCCTCCTCCTCCTCCTCCCTGCCCCTCCTCCCTCTCCCCCTGCCCGTCCTCCTCGCGCATGTCCAGCATGACCATCTCCCGCGACAGAGCAGCGCTCTGTTCCTGGAGGTCGTTGCTTGCTCGAGCGAGGGCCTTGAGGAACTCCATGCTCATGTACAGGCAGGAGAAGCGGAGCGGGAGGAACTTGGCGTTGCTGAGACCTGAGATCCAGTTCCACCACTGATGGTCGTGAAGGAGCAGAGAGAGGAGAGAGGAGGGAGCGCTCTTGACCCACACAAAGCAGAAGAGCTTGAGGAGAGTCCTGGGACAAGTCAGAGGGAGGAGCTTGCGAGGAAGGCCGGGGGGTGGGGGGAAGGAGAAGTGAAGCTCAAGCACACGAAGAGGAGATATGATGGATCAGGAGAAGGAGAGGTAGGGGCAGAACAAGCAGGGGCAGCAGGAGCAGGAGCAGGGGCAGGAGCAGGAGCAGGGGCAGGGGCAGGGGCAGGGGCAGGGGCAGGGGCAGGGGCAGGGGCAGGGGCAGGGGCAGGGGCAGGAGCAGCAGAGGGTGTAGGAGGCCAACCTGAAGGTCTTCCACATCTCTTCCTTCACCATGACGGGTGCTAGGTACGAGTTGGGGTTTCTCAGCTGGTCGTGGCTCAGCTGGGCAACCAGTTGGGCGACGTGGATCTCGATGACGCTCGGGCAGGTGGACGGCTGCTGACATCGGCACTCCTTGCCGCTGGTGCGCAGCTCGGGTTGGACGAAGTGCTGTGCTGAGAGCTGGCGGTAGCTGCCGGCGCACTGGAGGATGAAGACGACGAACTGATGGACGGCCATGCCGGACTGCCTGGAGTAGAGTTGCCACCAGATCTGAGAGAAGAGTCAGGGAGATCAAGGGTTGCTCCTCCTCCTCAACAGGGTGGTACTTGATACCTCCTCCTCCTCCTTTTCCTGATCCTACTCCTCCTACTTCTCCTCCTACTCCATCTTCTTCTTCTCCTCCTCCTCCACCTCCTCACTCCTCCTCCTCCTCCTCCTCCTCCTCCTCACTCCCTCTCCTCCTCCTCAACTTACGTCTGCTGCTCGTTGAATGCGGCAGGAGATCAGTCTTTCGTCTCCCCGATCAAACCCATCGTTGCAGCAGAAGATCAGGTTGCCGTAAAGTCCCCGAAAGAACTCCCTGCTGCTCTGCAGAGAACGAAGAAACAGGACCAGCTTCGTCCTCTGAGCTCCATCTCTCCTCTGCTCCTCCTCCTCCTCCTCCTCCTCTTCCTTCCTGTCCTCCCTCTTCCCCTCCTCCCTCCCCTCGCATGAGGACGAGCTCGGATGTTGCCTCGGCTCCATAAGCGGAAGCAACTCTTTTTCTACAACATTCTCATCCAACTGTAAAACACAAAAAGTGAGCCTCCTCCTCTCTCCTCTCTCCTCTCTCCTCCTCCCTCACCGTCCCGAACACGGAGAACTCATCTTCATGCTCCCACGTGCTGCACGAATACAGGGTGCTTCCTTTCCTCACCTCGGGGATGTCAACATGGATCTGCTCGTTCAAAGTCAGAAACAGCTTTCGTCCTCCCTCCTCCTGCTCGTGCTCCTCCCTCTCCTCTCCTTCTCCTCCTCTGTCTATCTGATGCTGTTGCTGCTGCTGATGCTGATGCTGATGCTGCTGCTGATGCTGCTGCTGCTGCTGCTGCTAATCCCTCCCTGCTCCTCCTGCTGCTGCTGCTGCTGTGTGCAAACTTCCTCACTCCCCCTATCTATCAGCTTCCCTTCCTCCCCTATCTATCAGCTTCCCACCTGCAGTCCTGCCCTGGGGAAAGGTTCCAGCAGGACTGCAGGTGGGCATCTATCTATCAGCTTCCCTTCCTCACTCCCCCTATCTATCAGCTTCCCTTCCTGCCCACCTGCAGTCCTGCTGGAACCTTCCCCAGGGCGATAACTCCGTTAGAGACGGGCCCGAGAACATCTTTGTGAGGTAGGAGAAGGTGAACCTAATGAGCTGCTTAGCTGACCGGCTCATGAAGGAGGAGCGGGAGCAGGAGCAGGAGCAGGAGCAGGAGCAGGAAGAGCAGGAGGAGGAGCAGGAGAAGGAGGAAAGGGATAGAAGAAGAGAGGAGTACCTGAGCAGAGAGGATGTGAAACCATCCCGGATGATCCTGCTGGAAGGCACTTTCCACCCGCAAGATCCTGACGCTCGAAGAACCCTCCTCCTGCTCCTGCCCCTGCTGGGAGGGTTGATGCTCCTGCCCCTGCTCCTGCCCAGCTGCCTCCGGGCTCCTGCTCTTCCTACGGACCTCAAGTTTGCAGACCCACTTCTCCCCTGCGGTCGTGCGTTCAGCGTGAAGTGTGCGAGTAGGAAGAGGGAGAGGAGGGAGGGAATGAGATGCGACAGAAGAAACAAGGAGGCGGGGGAGGCATGATGGAGGGGTGTCAAGGAAGAGCAAGATGGATGGTATGGACACACGAGTGAAGAGCAGGAGCAGGAGCAGGAGCAGGAGCAGGAGCAGGAGCAGGAGCAGGAGCAGGAGCAGGAGCAGGAGCAGGAGCAGGAGCAGGAGCAGCAAGGGAGATAGCGGGGGAGGGAAAGAGGAGGGGCTGGCAATGACGATGTCCGCAGCCGAGTGAGAACAGCATAGAGCGACAGGAGCGGGAGAACTCTCTCTGCCGATTGGCTCTGATGCTTGCCATGTGAGAGGAGGAGATGGAGGGCTACCAAGCTGTCCTTTGCTGTTGTCTTGCTTGTGTTCTTCTTGCTAAGCCTCTTCCTCTCCTCTCCTCTCCTATCCCTCTTACTGACTCTTGCCTTGCTTGGTCTTGTCTTGTCCTCTCCTTCTCATTTC